ACCACTGCTCTAGGCCAAGGGCCATTTGGATCTAACATCATTCACCGGCCATACAAGATAACCAACTTAAAAATTAGCCTGCTAAAAATATAAAATAAAAAAGTAGCCTGCTATATTTGATCAAACATTTCGTTATCTCACCCCTAATGCCCTGGCAGGGCTGCTCCCGCCCCTGCTCTAGGAGCACACGCACAGGAGTGCCAGCCTGGTCCCACCAGCCTTCCCCACTCCAGCTCCACTCACTCTCTCACAACTCCTGTCCTGCAGTGGGTTCGATATTATCACTGAAAAGAGCAGAACCTGTCCTGGGCCATTCCTCAAACGCTTGGCTTCAGGGGGCCCACACATGGGGGTGAGCAACGTTGAGATGGCGCCACCACTGCCAGGTCCCTGCCACACTGCGAATGCCGCAGACCAGGCCTCAACCGGGTGACTGAGAAAACAAGACTCTGTGACACCTCTGCATTCTGCTCTGAGAGGGGAATGTCATTTACGGCATGCAAGCCCAAGACCGAGTTCAACTTCTTTCAATGGCTGACAGAACCGGAACCTGGGTAGCTCACAAGGACCCACTGGCAGGCGAGCCCCTTCCTGTGCCCCTTCCCAGGCAGTTCCTCAGAGCTGTGCCCACGTCAGGGAGGGGGTGCTGGGTGCAGGCAGGGCTCTTTAGGAAGCTGCCTAATGAGCTCATTAGAAGGATTTGCTCCTTTCCCTGCACTTAAGTCAACAATGACTGTGTTCGCCAGCTCCCCCATGGGGGGCTTCTTTTATTAAGCTCTCGGTGCTGCAGGGAACACGTGTTCTCTTCAGGAAAATGTATTCAAGGGGCAAACCCCGTGAACAGGGCTGCACAAGAGGGTGGGTAGAGGGTGTAAGAGGTGTTGGTGTGTCCCTGCTTCCCACCATCCCTCCCTCCGGGGGGGGTTGGGGTGGGCCGCGAGACTCCCCAAGGGCAACCTGAGGTGGAATAAATGGCAGCAGTGGTTTTTGGACTCTGGTTTCGAGTCTGAATGAACTTGTTTCCCAGTGAATCTGGCTTTTCTGCGCTGTGTCGCACCCGAGGCCCAGCTTTCTTCCCACCCTCACCAGGGAGGAGCGGCTGGGCCACAGAAAAGCAGGTGGGTTAACACAGGGAGATGCTTCGTCCGTTGCCCAAACTGCATGGTCTGAAAAGGTTTGAGCAGGGAGTGAGGGGAAGGGAGTGGCCTGAAGTTTATGGGAGAAGAGGTCTGACAACAAGAAGAAACAGCGCCGGTGGTCAGCCGCTGAGGAACGACCTGGCACCACGGAGGCCAGCGGAGCGGGCCGGACAGCTGCTCCTGCCACTCAGCTCCCAGAGGCCCCTGAGCACGACGTTTTATTTCCAGTTTTGTTTCCTGGCCTGTAAAATGGAAACAACACTGGCTACTTGACTCAGCTGCACGAAGGATTAAATTAAATGAGATCATGCGAGCAAGAGTGTTCAGTGTTACGGTCAAGGCGTAGGAGGCCAGGGGCTGCCCGCCCCTCTCCTCTCGAGGAACAAAAAGGCTGTGGAGCAGAGCTGCCTCCCTCCCAGACCTGTCTTTCTGGCATAGCCAGGGGCCGCGCCACACTCATCAGCCAGCCCACCTTTCTCCTCAAGGTCTGCATAACTGCCCCAGGCTGCCCCATGAGTGCCGCCAGGTGCTGCCTGCATTCCAGAAGGGGCTGCTCCCTCCAAAAGCGGCCAAAGCGTTACTCAGCCCAAGCATGGTCTCAGGTGACATCAGGATGAGGACAGCGGTCTCGAGGAAAGGGCCTGCTGCCACCATGAGCACTGGGATGCAAGCGTCAGCTGCCCTGGAACCACGGCCTGAGCCAGGACTGGCATCTGCGCCATGACTGCTACCTGTGTGCCTTCCGCTCATCAGAGCTGTCTCCCTGGTGAGACAGAGATGACCATCTCTACCCGCCTCTTCTGGCTCGTCTGAGATCAGTCAAGTAGGTGCAGGTGACACTCTCTCACCTCTCCACGGATGTCGCCTACGTTGGCCTCTCTGCTGGCTGCGTTCACCACCTGACTTTCATTAGAGGGAAAGTCATGTCGGCCCAACTGTCAGCCTCTTGGTGGCCGGGGCCAGATTCTGTCCCTCATCTGCGGTTCCTGCAGTGCCCCACACAGTGAGCTCTCACTCCATTCTCACCACTCAACTTCACAGGACACACAAATGTCCCCTTCACACTCATTTCCTCTCCATCTAGTTCTGCTACATCTGCAATAGATTCCAATGATACGTCTCATCAGCCATAACCATTCATTTATGTATTCAGACACTTATCCAGTGTCTTTTACGGGGAATGTGGGGATAAAAATGGCAGTATCTCTACTTTCAGCAAGTTCACACTAAAACTATGTAGGGAGCAGAGTCCTAGAAAGTCTATGGCGTTTGCAGAGTTGGGACTTGATATGATCCTTGCCTTCAAGATCTTTATGCTTTGGGACAGCGAAAGCCAAGAGGTATGAGGGCCCTCAGTGTGACCCCTGCACCTCCTGCCCCCAGCTCTGAGCCACTCCATCCATGCCCACCACCCACTCAGCGATGGGTTTCAGTGATGTCACTGGGCATGTTCTTGCTCCAGTAGGTGAGCTGGCTTGGCTCTGTATTGGGCTAAGTTGCAAACAAACAAACAAACAAAAAAAGAAAACAAAAAAAACAAGTTCCTGCTTTGATAGGTCATGGCTAAACTTTGAAAAGTCATCTCTTCAGGCTGCGTGTGTGTGTGTGTATCACGTTTCATATAGCTGACCTCTGCCTTAGCCCCAGGCTCAGCTATCCCACTGCCTACTTGACATTTCTACTTGGAAGTAAGGCCACTCGGTATCTCAAGTTTAACATGTCTACACCAAACTCGAGATGTTTTTTTCCACACCCCACCTGTTCCTCACCTAGTCCTTCCCATCTCAGTAGATGGTACCACCTTTCACCCAGTTGCTCAGGCCAAAAATATCTAGGTGTTATCCTTGGTTCTTCTTTCTCTTTACCCCACATCCAATATATCAGCAAAACATAAAAAACATAAATTAGGTCACACCAGTCCCCTGACTACCCCCAACGGCTTTTCACTGGCCTTACAATAAAATCTAACTCTTAACCACAGCCTATAAGATCCTACCATGCCTGGCTTCTCTGACCTCAGTTCTTAGCAAACTCCATTTTCATTCAATACCCTCCAACCACCATGGCTCTCTCTGTCCTCTAACGTGTCAATCTGCTTCCTGCCTCAGGGCCTTTGCACAGCCTGAAATGCCTAATCTGTGTGGCACCTCCTTAGTATGGCCTTATTTGATTATCATAACTAATATTATCTCTTTATTATGCTACTCAATTTTTTAAATCCTCACCTGAGGATACTTTTCAATTGATTTTTAGAGTGGAGGGGGGGGGGGGAGAGAGAGAGACAGAGAGACAGAGAAAGAGGGAAATGATGTGAGAGGGACACATCGATTGGTTGCCTCCTGCATGCACCCCATCCAGGGCTGATTGAGCCTGCAACTGACGTACATGCCCTTGACTATGAATTGAACCCAAGACCCTTCAGTCCATGGGCTGACGCTCTACCCACTGAGCCAAACTGGCCAGGGCTGCTACTCTTTTTTATATCTATAACAGTACAGTTGACCCTTGAACAACACAGGTCTGAAATGCACAGATCCACTTATACACAGGACCATATCTATCTATATATATAAAAGCCTAAGCAACCAGCCAACTGGCCAGTAGCTATGACGCACAACAACCATCCGGGGGCAGACACTCAATACAGGAGCTGCCAAGCTGCCGTGACTTGGCAGCTGTGGTTCTTGGGTGACGCACCTGGAACCAGAGAGGAGGGAGCCCGATTCCGGAGTGCGTCACCCGAGAACTGCCCTCTCGAAATCCGGGACCCCTCAGGGATGTCGGAGAGCCGGTTTTGGCCTGATCCCCGCAGGCCAGGCTGAGGGACCCCACCTGTGCACATGCACCAGTCCTCTAGTATCCAATAAATATGTACAGTACTGTAATTGTATTTTCTCTTCCTTATGATTTTCTCAGTAACATTTTCTTTTCTCTAGCTTCCTTTATTGTAAGAATATAGTGCATATTGCATATAATATACAGAATATATGTTAACTGACTGTATCAGTAAGGCTTCCAGTCAACAGGTTATTTTTTTCCAGGTGGGGGTGTCAAAAGTTATACATGGATTTTCAACTGCTGGGGGTGGGTGCTGGTGTCCCTAACCCCAAGCTGTTCAAGGGCCAGTCATATTTACCTAGACTGCCTTATGTACGCATCCTTGCTTATTTTGTCCAGAACTAAAATGTAAACTTAATTTTCATGTGGTAAGACCTCCCCTGATTCACTGCTGTCTCTCCAGCACCTCGCACAGTTCCTGGCACATGGCGGGTGCTCAATAAATACCTAACCCACAAATGAATGAATCCCGCGCTGCAGCAACCCGGAGGGGAGCGAGACCGGAAGTCTGGGACTCACCCGGGAGTATGGCTTGAGGGCGCACGGCTGCAGCACGGACTTACAGGGGCCGGGGGAGCATGGAAAGCTTAGCGGGGCCTGCGGAGGTCAGTGCACAACACTGCGAGGTAGGGGGTCGAGTCAGGGGAGAAATAAGCCTACGACTGTCACCATCCCGACCGGCGGCGTGGGTCTCAACCTGGCCGCACCTTGAATCATCCGGAGCGTTTACCCCAGAGATACCGATCTACTATTGCTGGGTGCTGCGGACACTGGTAGGTTGTTAAAAAGCTGCTCCGGTAACTCCAAGGTGCAGCCAGAGGAGAACACGGAGCACAAATAGGTCGTCGCTCTCTGAGGTTCCCCCGGGACAGCGGGGTCCGCGCGCACGTGCCGCCAGGAGGAAAGGCGCGCGCATGCGCGGCCATCGCCGCCGGCCAACTACTAGGTCCCACCCCTACCTCGTTCGGTCCTCCCCTCGCCCGACCGCCCCGCCGCCGACGGCGGACCCCACAGTCCGGTCACCTGGGTGTTCTCTCCCTCCCGAAACGCCTGTGCTACCCGCTGCCGCAGGTAAGCGCCCAAGTCCCGGCCCCGTTTGGTCTCGTCCACTGGCCATTCCTCACAGAGCTTAAGAAAACGCCGGTAGCGGCCGGCCGCCATTTTGGGCCCCGCTTGTCCCCGCCCTTGAGGGAGGAGTCAGCCGGCGCTTGCGCACTGGGGCCCGCAGGCTTCCTGAAGGAGGGGCGGGGCGGGGGAGGAGTGAGCATGCGCACCTTGGGGCGCCCCGGCTCTCCGGCAGGGGCGCTACTGGCCTGTGTCTGCGCGCAGACCTCAACAGCCCGCGTTCTCCTGGAACCGGCCCAGCAACCAGGGCAAGTCCGACGTGGAGAACCCCAGGGACAGCTTGGCTTCTCTTTTTCAATGACTGCACAAGCTCCAGACTAAAAAACCCTCCTGGGAGAACCGTGCTAATTTGCATAAGCGAATACATTTGCATGTAAGTGCAGGTTGTTATTGGATGAAGATGTGTTTGAACTTAATCAGGCATTGTGCACACGCGGCTAGCACGCACCCCGCCTCCTGCCGCATCCTCTCTTCGCAGCCCCTGTGCCTGTGGCTGCCACAGCTCCTCCTTCAGTGCTCCTCCCCAGCCAGGCACTTTTCCCCGGGAAGAACACATTTCCCAGCTGGAGCAAAAAAACTCGGGAAAACGTTTTTTAAGAACCAAGCCTTCACTGTACATCTCCATGTGGAATGTCCCAATTTTTCTTTTCAACAGATACCCACACTTTCCAGGTTACCCTCTGCGCCCACCGTCCTGCTCAGCCGGACTTCGAGGCTGCAACACCTGGCTCCCCCCAGCCTTTCTTCTCACCCCCTACTTTGTCCAGGGTTGTCCAGGAGACTCCTGCCTTGAGTAGGGGGGTGAATACACAGCCCAAACCCGCAAATCAGAGCCCAAGGCCTTGCACTGAAGCGTTAGAGTGCTGGGGAGCTTGGAGAAACAGACTTCTAGCTGCTCAGGGGAGCAGGGGAGAGATCAGGGTGCACCTGGAGGAGATGGCATTTGGCTGGGCCTTGAAGGATGGTTAGGATTTGGGAAGTGGGAATGGAAGGACCCTGAGCCGCAAGAGGCAGGGCGGGTGTGGGATGGGGAGAGAGGAAGAGGGAGGAGGCTGATTTGAGGAGAGAGCAATGGGAGGTTTTAACAAGGAACAGCTTTTTGCTGGTCTGGAGGCGGTAAGAGTGAAGATCTATTGAATGAGAACCTCCGGGGACCCATTCAATAGATGGGTGTGCAACACCCACTTGAGGTGAGTGAGTTCAGGGAGGGGGTGCCCACCTGAGGTAAAGAGAGTTCAGGGGGAGTGGAAATGCACACAAGGGCTCCCCCACCATGTCCCAGCCCGACTGTACCCCCAGCTCCATCCTCAGCTGCAATTACAGACTCATCGTTTTGTTGGCAGCCCAGGGTGGCATCTATTTACTGTCAAGCTCCCGGCACCTAGGGCTGTGCTGGGCCCTGAGCCGTGTTCTGCCCGAGGTCCGACCACAGCTGTGGCTTTGAAGAGCACCTGACTAGCCAAGGACAGCTCCTGGGAGGCAGGGACGGAGGTCCCTCTGTATTTGGCAACAGGAAGAGCGTCATTAGGTGGCAGTGAATGGTTTTCACCCCCCTTGAGCCCAAGTGCAATGAGAGGCTGAGAAGAGCTGGGGACCCGGGGAAACCCAAACCAGTGCCTCCTTTGAAGCCCACCCACCCCCCGCCCCCTGCCCAGCAAGCGTCTCTGGTCAGGGTAGGGTTGTCCCTGGTTCAGACTTCCCCACACAACTCTCTTCCCTCACCAGAGGCGTGTTTTTGTCTTGGTGGTTTAGTAGTGAGGCTTTGGACCTGGGTTGGAATGTGGGCTCATTCATTCATTCATTCATTCATTCATCTAGGACTGATCTGTGTAATTTATGGGGGCTCCAAGCAAAATGAAAATGTGAAGCTCCTTGTTAAAAAATGACTGAGAATTTCGGGACAGTAATAGAGAGCATTAAACCACATTTGGGGCCCTTCACAGGTCACACACCCATGAGACCGCCGTGCGCTGTGGTGGGCGAGACTGACAGGGGCCCTATTCTGGGGGTTTTACCTTTATGTGGGGGGCAACAGCCAGCAAGCATACACTCACCCTGGTAATGGTGCTTTATATGTATGAAGTCATTCACTCACTGAGCAAGTTAATTTCAGAAGTGATCAGTGTCAGGGAGAGATGAGGCAGAGTGTTGGGAGCGGGGTCTGGGTGGTGGAGGGGCTTGAGTGTGAGAGACCTGACTCCCTGAGGGGCAAGAGCGGCTTCCAGGCGAGGGGCAGCCAGTTTGGGGCAGGGTGTTTAATCGCTCTGCGCTTCAGTTCTTCATCTGGAAACGGGACTTCAGGGATGAGTTAGCACTGCTGTTCGCTGCGTGCCAGGCACTGTGCCACCTGCCTGACACACACTGACTCACTCAGTCCTCACGTGGCTCTGAGGTAAGTACCACGACTGCCTCCATTTTACAGAGATGGAAACTGAGGCCCAGAGAGGATACGCACTTGCCAAGGTTGCCAGCCGGCAAATGCAGATCCTGGGCTTGAGCCCCAGCTGGCCGGCTCCAGAGTCCACGCCGTTGCCCTCCTCGGCCTCCTTGAAGCTTTACGGTTGTGGACCGCATGCGTGATGAGTTTCTGTGCGAGTTGGAGTTTCCTGAGGGGCTGGAGGGTCCCCTCTGGTTTGCTTTATGTGGTCCCCAACCCCCATACCCCCATGTCTCTGTGGGTGGTTGGAGCCAAGTCTGGGCTCACTGGCTTGTGGGTCACCCAGTGCCATTCTGGGCACATTAATAGGCACTGGCCTAGGATGTGGCTTGGCCAGTGCCAGCCCCCAGGGAGTTGATGACCCTTTTAACACCCTTGTGCCAGCTGTCACTCATTCCCCACTGAGCACAGAATGCAGCCCCCGCCTGGCTCCTTGAAAATCCCACCGGGGCTCACCTGCGGAGCCCCTGGGAGGGGGACCGGGCTTTCTGGGGCTGTGACCCCTCTTATAGAAACAAGGCACCGTCAGCATCAGGGGAGGAGAGGGAGGGAGAGAGCCGGCTTCAGTTTTCCCGTTATGATGGTCCCAGTAATTGAGATGCCGAATTGCACACGTACTCGTAAATCGCTTGAAAGCAAAAATGTCGTTTTGTGGTGCTGGTGTTAGTAATGCAAACATTTAAAAGGAACTAAATACTTAGCTGTATTGTAAGGCCTGGTTGCCTGATTTTCTTCTTTCACTTATTCACCTGGAGGAGCTGCTTGGCGGCTACACCCAGCTGTGTTACCATAAAACGTGGGCGGGACCTGCATCCCAGCCACCCCCTCAAGGTGGCTGCGGCCCTCGGTGGAGGAGAGCTCTTCTCAGGACGCACAGGGGTTTGAGGGGTGCTGGATGGCCTCGGGGCCTCCTGACGTGCACCCTGTCATCTCCAGAGCCCCGGCCCTGTTGACACATCTTGTCATCTGCCCCTGGATCTGCCTCCCTCCCTTCACTCTGCTCTCTGGTCCATGTACCCAGAGAGGCCACCCCTTCGGGCCCCTTCGCCTCACAGCACCAGTCGCTCTAACCCCAGGCCCTGGCTCAGGGTGGCCCCTCACTAAGAGAATTGGGAGAGAACATGAGAATAGAAAGCCAGGTCTCCTCACCCACTTGCTCCCACCCTCACCGCTGCTCCTATAAGATTCTCATTTTTAGAGGCCGCGGGAGCAAGGCCAAGGGCAAACAGGAGCCAGCTTCTGGGTTTTGTTCTCGGATAAGCTGTCAGACTTCCTGTCCCCTTTCGGGGCAGCTGAGTAGGAAGGGAGCCGTTCTGAGCAATGGTGATGAGAAGGCCCGGGCGGCGGCTGCAGACAGCCTGCCTGGGGCGCTCAGCTTGGCATTGCCCAGAGCTGCTTCTCCCTCCCCCCTCTCCCCCTCCCTCCCTCCCTTCTAATTCTTGGCACCCAGGCCTTCATTTTAGATCTTTCCCTCGTCTTGTGTTTTATGTGTTTGGCCACAGAGGATGCAGATTTAAATCAAGTCAGAGTTTAAATCATGTTGAAGAGCTGCTGCTGAGTGTTTTATGAGGCTGCTTCCTGCCCTTTCCAGCCTGGGCTCAAAGGCTCCATGCAGCTGGCAAGAGCGATGAGCTGCCAGGGTGCTGCCTGGAGGCCCAGGGCTTCCTGACATGGTAGGATGGAGAAGCTGTACTAACATCCTGTTCTTTAGCTCCATCTTCAGTCGCACAGGGGACTCCAGGGCACGGAGGTGGGGCTGGGTGACTCCCAGGCGGCCTTGTACTGCCGTGAGGAGGTCAGGAGCAGGTTGCTGTCCACATCACCTGTCTTGAGGATGAGAGTTCCCGTGGGGCGGATAAGGACGCAGGGAGATGCTAGTAAATCTACCAGACTCCGCACACTCGTCGCGTGAGGACATGGCAAGGGGAAGGGTCTGGATCAGGACTGCAGCTCTGGTGCTGCCAGGCCCCTGCGGTCCCCGATGTGCCCTCTGGCTCTTTATGTCTCTGTTTCTCCCTTCTTAAGTCCGGTATCACTTAACATGCAGGTTATGGAGTAAGAGGTCATGGCAGAGGCTGGATTCTCATCAAACCCACTTCCCCTTCATAGGCACACAGTTAAACTACATCTCAGCCCCTTGGCATCCGGGAAAGGCCACACGACTGGTTCTTGCCCATGGAATGTTCTTCTCCATGCTGGCTAACGTTTAGGCCTTGTGGGTGAGGATGGTGGTGTCACAGGATGGAAGGAGCCTGCGTCCCTGGATGACTGTGGTTCAGAGGCGCTCTGACAACTACATTGGATTGTAATGCCAAGCTACTGCTATTTGGAGATGGTTTGTTATAAAGCTAGCCTACCCTAATACCTGTGTGTTCTTCAGTTCACACAAGAAGAGAGCTCCCCAGCCCGGGAGCCTCCTGGTATGGGAGGCTCTCGGGTGCTCCAGGCGAGGGGGAGCTGTAGTGGGGGAGGTTCTGAGGTCTTTTCTGTTCTCATGTTCTGGGGTTTCTCCATTTCCACCTTACTCTCTCTTGGTGCCCCTGTCCATCAACCTCCGTGGCCAACACAGACCACATCCCTGAACGGAATGCTGGAGTCCCCATTCCCGTGCTTGGAAATCCATTCCTGGAACACCTGCCCTTTTCACCTTTCACACTTGCCTCCCTCTCAAGGCACAGCTCAAACACCACCTCCATGATCACCCCCGGTGGCTGCGAGCTCTCCCTGCCTCTGCTCTCCTGGTAGCGCTCCGCACAGCAGATGCCCCACACCCTACGGACTACCCGTGGTATTTTCCTATGAGGGTCTTTACTCTCGCACTAAGTCTTAAGGTGTGTAAGGGTAACATCTTGATCCTCACACTTCCTTGTTTCCTACACGGGCCCTAGCACTATGCTGTATGTACCAGGCACTCAGAAAATATTTCCTGGATGGATAGATGGAAGAAAGGAAGGAAGGACAGATCACAGAACTCACAAATGAATGAGCTACTTGGCCAGATTTTTAAGTGCCTCCACCATCAGGCTCACTCTATTTTTCTACTCTTCATTTCTCCTACTCCCAGTCACAAAACCCCATTCTGAATGGGTTGGTCTGTCCACAGACTCATGAACATGCCGGACTTTTCCTTCACTCCACTCCCCAACCCACCAGTCCCCCAGCCCCTTCCCCACCCGTCCACCTTCAGGGTCCAGATGAAGCCTCGCCTCCTCCCACCGTTTCTGTGAAAACTCTGCTCTCAGCAGACGTCTTCAACTTTCAACTTCAGGGTTGCTCCTCTGCACCACACAGATCCACCCTGTCCCGTGGGCACTGTCTGTGCAGTTTGTTGTCAGTTCATGTGTGTGATTCTTGCTTCCTCAACGAGAATACAAGCTCCCCAGGGCTGGCTCCTCCCCAGTGCTGAGCAGGACAGCAGGGAATAGCTGATGTTCTGTACAAGGACCCTGGCTGCTGGCTGCATGTCTGGGCTTTGCCATCTGTAAGTAAACTCAGATTGCAGGTCGAATACATACATACCCCCATCTCTTTTTTCCATAACTGTCTGTTCTCTCCCTCAGGCCAGATTTGCAAGAATTTGGGTGGGCTCCTTCAGCTGCGTTGTTGAATCTGCAAAGCTTACCCAGATTTCCAGACCATGGTGACCCCCTGAGTCCTGTAGCGAGCTTTGTCTCTTGCAACAAACTTCACTTTTGTTGAGGGCCTTTTCAGGAGGAGGTGGGAACTCGGGCTGGGCCTCGAGTGAGTTACAGAGGAGGAAGAAGGCCAGACGTGAAGGGCAGAGTGGGGTAAAGGAGTAGCCAAGAGAGGGGGCATCGTGTGGGCAGGATGAGGAGCCAGCTCCGGAGCGTGGTTGCAGCTCAGCTAGTGACGGGCTGGCCAGCCCGGAAAGACCTAGATTCCAGCTGAGCCTTCCCACCGTGTCCTCGTCCTCAGGCGAGTTCCACACACCCAGGCTGCCAATGGCGAGGGGATCGGAAGCTACGCCAGGAAGCTTTGGAGTTGGTTGATGTGGGACCAGGTTCTCAAGTAGCGAAGTGGCTCAGAAAAAGCAGGATTTAGGGCTCCACTTTGAAATTAGCAAATATTTGGTTTCCACTGCCTCCCTTTGCCACCAGCAAGCTTTGACTGAGCGCTGCCGCCACGGGCACAGAGCATGCAAATTCATGTGTCATCACCTCAGCCAAACATAAGAAGGGAAGTTAACTTGCTTTGAAATTCATATAATGTATCACAAAATTGAACAAAAGTTTTTTGTTAGCCAGGCTACTCTTTCCTTCTAATAGTATGGGTTTTGGAAAGTTGATGGTAATTAGCCACGAGAATCCAGAAATAAGTTTTGCATTGTGTAAGGTTCACAGGAAAGCCTTGTAGATGCATGCAAATCTTTTATTACCATTTCCCACCGGGGCCCGAGGGATTGCTGGAAATCGGTGAACTGTTCTTGCTGAATACTCTAGTCACCATAAATTGGAGCCAGCGTACAGTGAGATGATCAGAATAAATAAACAGGAAGGGTAATAAGGCACACCAAATCATCACTGATGACCTCAGCAATTTTATTAACAAATTTATTTCCCTAATTGGGTGACGCATCTCCGTGCTCGACTCCAGGGCATTGTAATAGCTTGCACACCGCCGAAGAGGAATTAATTAGAGCCGGCTGCTCTTTGTTCCGCATTCATACTCGTCCTCCCACCGGTCTTGTAAACATTGCGCCTGGTTTCCTCGGTCCTCCAGGCTCCTCACTTCTGACCCCCCCCATAAATAAACAGAAAGCTGAGCAAGTAGCTTAACACCCGAGGCTCCTCCGCACGCACATCCCACCTCCCTGGCAGCTGCACTTCACCGTCAGCTTCTGGCAGAACGGCTGCTCCCAGTAGGTACAGTGGGGCCTTGACTTACGAGTTTAATTTGTTCCGTGACGGAGCTCATAACTCAAATTACTCGTATGTCAAATCAAAAAGTGAACGAGTGAGACATGTGATGCTGGGCTGATGTGGTGGTGTTCACTGTGACGTTCGCTGCGCCAACTAGCAATGAGGTATCTGAAGCTGGCTCGTAGCCCGAATTTTAGCTCGTAACTCAAAGCAAAAAATCGGCTGAGAGACGGCTTGTATCTTGAAAAACTTGTTAGTCGGGGCACTCGTAAGTCAAGGCCCCACTGTACTTGGAAGTCCGGAAAGAGACCTTCCCTCCACAGGCAGAAATGGAGCTCCGGGTGTTGGTTTGCCAGCGCTGCTGGGATGGTCCTGTCCATGCAGAACCTGGGCTTGCAGCTGGTGAGATGGCAGATCTGTCCCACTCATCCTGCCCCCCTGCAGTGCCTCTGAGGAAGGTAGGAGGCGTTCCTCACCTCCGCCCTGCCCTTGGCACAGGCCACCCATGAAGCAGACCCATGACCGGGAGCCTCCTCTTCAATGAGGACTTGCCTCACAGCCGGCCAGGACTGCAGCGTGACAAGAAAGCATGTTCCGTGCAGACACTGCAGAGTCTCGCTGTGATGCCGCCTCTACCTCATGCGCCATCTCACCCGGACCATCCAGTCTGGGTGACCAGCGTCAGCACAGACGCCAGGCGTGTGAGTTATCTCTGAGCTGCCTTCTTCAGCGGCTCTTCACTCAGCCTGCCGTGGGAGTGATGGCTCCTGAATGTAGCTATGTTATTACAGAGACATCTAAGGCGTGTCTAGACCAGTGATGGCGAACCTTTTGAGCTCAGCATGTCAGCATTTTGAAAAACCCTAACTTAACTCTGGTGCCGTGTCACATATAGAAATTGTTGATATTTGCAACCATAGTAAAACAAAGACTTATATTTTTGATATTTATTTTATATATTTAAATGCCATTTAACAAAGAAAAATCAACCAAAAAAATGAGTTTGCGTGTCACCTCTGACACACGTGTCATAGGTTCACCATCACTGGTCTAGGCTATCCTTGCTACCAATAGGTCTCTCTGGATACTGTGCTCTAGAACCGGGGGGACCACCACGTCTCACTGTCCCTCCTGGATGTCCCGCAGGATCTGGATGAGGTTTTCCAGGCCGAAAATGTAGCCCGGGTCTGGTCCGTCATAGGTGCTGCGCTCATTCCAGGAGCCCTTGTATGTCGTGTGAGCGAAGTCGATCATCCGGATGTCAACTTTGGGGAGGCCTCCGGGGCAGCTGCCGGGCGCGGGCTGCGGAGCCTCCTGCGGGTGCGGGCTGCCCGGGGCTCTTTCCGGCGGCTCCTGCCCGTCGTAGATGACCAGGAGGGAGCTGGAGTAGAAGCGGTAGGAACTCTGGCTCCTGATGACCGAGAGGAGGGCCTGCAGCTGGCGCTGGATGGGCCCCAGCAGCTCTGTCCGGAGGCGGGTCCCGTCGTGCAGGAACTGATAGAGGGCTTGTCTGAACCCGTCGACCGAGAGTTTCCTTCCATAGTACTTGTCTTTGCAGAGAAAATGCTTCTTATCAGTTTGATAAACCTTATGTCAAGAAAAAGAAAGAGAAAATGCGAAAATTACAAACAAAAACTTGCACCTGCCCAGCTCAGCGTCACAAGCTGACATGACATAAACAGCCCCGGGGGGCAGGGCAGGATGCTGAGACGCACAGAGCAGCAGCTTCCTCTGCGCCCTTCAGCTTTACATCTGCGCTGCTTCCTGCACAAGCTCTAACGGGACCCAGGGCCAGAGACCCTTCACCCTAAGAGGCGACCCCCACCCACGAGGAAAAGGGCTGGATCTCCTTTCATGCAAATTTCCAGTGTCAACCCCAAACCATGACTTAAACCCTGGCTTCGGGCTCTCCTCAGACATTAGCAAACCCAAGCGAGGAAGCTTTCGTAGGAATCTGAAGTCACAGCCAATGGCCTTGGAAAGCCAACTAGATTGCATTTCCCCCACGAAGTTTATGAAGTCCTTTCTCTGGGATCCTAAGGAAACAATAATGGCTCTCGGGTAGAGTGGGGTGAATATTTTGAAGATAAAAGACGGGCCAGATCAGGGGTAGATGGAGTTTGGGGGCGTCCGTGCAGCTGAGGGGAGCCTGGGTATCAGAGGGGGGGGCCCAGCAGCTCTGTGGGGCTGTGGCTCCGCACCCTGGCACCAGCTTCTCCTGTCCCCTGTCATGTCTGGGCCACCAGATGGGAGCAGGGAAGAGGCACTGATGGGGGACAGTGGCAGCGGCCCCACGTCATTCAGACGGCACAGGCGGCAGCAGAGGCTGACCTGAGGCCAGAGCGGGCCTGGCCAGAGGATGGCTTGGCTGCTTGGCACACCTGGGAAGGGCTGCGCGTACCTGGCCAACACGGTGTCTCAGCCTTTCCTGCTTTCAGATTACATGATACGTTTACAGAAAACCAGTGTTGAAAAGTGTCAGGAAGACAGGATAGACTTGGTGTTGCCTTTGGAGGGTTGGGGACCGGCTGCTAAATCAGCCGTCAGCAAACATGCCAGGCACCACCTTCCAGACACATCCAATCCGTCTCAGAGGGTCCAGAGAGATTCCGTTTACACCCCAGCTCGGCACACTGCTGCTCCTGAGGACTGTGTTCGAGCCTGCTGTGCAACCAATTTACAGACTCGGCTTCCGCTTCACGGGCAGCGGTTTCAATTAAGGAGCCCTGTGACGTTCCCGCCACCTCGTGTCTGCTTGTGCTTTGAGTGGATAGATTGTGAGACCAAACCGATGGAGAACGTTTATTTCCTCCTGTCCGCGGCCTCTGCATGAGCCACACCGGAGCAGCACAAATAAAGTGCGGGGTCTGGGGCAATAAAAAGGAACCATTCCTTTGCCCGGGCTTAGGTTGTAACCTTCCCATTTTGTTAACCAGAACAAGTAGCAAGAAGCAGAAAAAGTGGTGTAAGAAGAGAGAACGTCCAAAAAAAAACTCAGAGCTTTAACCGGTTTGGCTCAGTGGATAGAGCGTCGGCCTGCGGCCTGAAGGGTCCCAGGTTCGATTCCGGTCAAGGGTATGTACCTTGGTTGCGGGCACATCCCCACTGGGGGGCGTGCAGGAGGCAGCTGATCAATGATTCTCTCTCATCATTGATGTTTCTCTCTCCCTCTCCCTCTCCCTTCCTCTCTGAAATCAATAAAAATATATTTAAAAAAACAAAAATACAACTTGGAGACAGACTGCCTTACGGGAAGTATCCGGGAAGGAGGAGTTCAGCTTTATCGTTCAGAGAACGTGGAATCAACAGAGAACTCTTCCTCCCGCCTTCCCAGCTGCTGCGCACACACGGTCCTCAAAGCTCTGGTCTCCACTCGGGCAGGACCGCGTGGCCACTGTGGCCTCAGCTGCCCAAGACTGTTGGCACCACTGTCCTGAGAGGTGCTCTTTAAAAGACCCAGCGCATCAGACAGGATGTGTTTCCCGGGGGAAGAGGGGCGCCTCTGATGCTCCCCAAAGCCCGGTGCCTGGGCGGGCGGCATCGCGCCCCCCTGGAATGCCGGGGCCACCCACCTGCATGCCGCAGATGCGCACGCCCAGGCAGGCCGAGGTGCTCTGCGCGCACTTGGTCATGTGGCGCGCCTTCTTCTCGGCGGACGCGTCGTCCCCGTGCTGCCGGGTCCCCATCTTCAGGTCCAGCACGCAGGGGTGCTTGTACTGGGACACGACGTTTTCCAGCAGCAGGAACCCTGGTCACGCTGGTTAAGGAAGGTCCCGAGGCCGAGGCCGCCCACGGAGGCAGGCGGCACCTGGGGAGGGGCTTTCTCTCCAGGCGGCCGGGCGCACTAGGGAGAGACGCAGGTCGCTTCGAGGGCTGCGTTCACAAGCCCACTTTAGGGAGCTAGTGAGCAGGCGCGCTTCTCCCTTTTCGCTCTAAGGTTGGAGTTTAAACGCAGGCCCTAAACCCGGGCAGGCCTTGCCCAATTTAGTTTATGGCAGAAAATCATAGGCTAAAACCCCTAGTCACCGAATGGGCCGTCTCTGTGGGGAGAGGAGTTGCAGGAATATTAACTTAGTGGAGGCATTATCCTGCCGAGATTCTCAGGGGTTAGGGCTGCAGATGTGTCTTAGCGAATCCGGTGACACCAGCGCCCGAGTGCAGGGAGGAGCCCGGGGGACGGGGCGCTTCGAGCCCAAGTTTGCTCACTGAGGACAGGGCAGCCTGAGGTGGGGGGATGCCTCCCCTAAGGCCCACCGTGGCCTTCCCTCAGGGGGATCCTCCGTCCCCCGTCCCCATCAGCTTGTGGGGAGAATTCGGGGTAGGAGGAGGGTGCGGTGCAGGGGACCCACCCAGCCCTCGCCATCCCCACCCAGCGGGGCAGTCGCCATTCCCACCTGCCCACAGAGCCCCCAGCGCTGGGGCAGACACAGCGGTGGCCACCAGGGCACTAGGCTCTGCTGAACTCCCAGTCTGGCTCTCACATCATCTCTGATTTGTTTTTGGGAAAGAACTGTTTTTTTTCTAGGTCCCAGGTTTGAGGGCTCCTGCCTCCCTCCCTCCACCCCCCTTTCATAGGTGCACCTTCCTGCCCTGGGCACCCCGTGGCAGGGGGGCTGGCAAGGATATGGTGCTGCTTGTTCTGTGGGTACTCGGTGCAGAGGCGGGTCAGGTGGGCCTGGTGGCAGTGCAGACCCCACGGGTTCAAGCTCCCCCTCGTGGCCTGGTTCCCGTTAGCATCTTCCACCAGGAAGGCGACGTGGGTGCTGAGGTGGAACTCGGACCTCAGGAGGGCAGTGGCCGGGCTGCAGCGGAGGGAGCACAGGACAGTCAGGGCCAGGCCCGAGGATGGAGAGGGGCCCTCCCCTGTGACTGCGGGGCCCTCCTGGGCTGGACTCCGACTCCGATGACCCCTGATTCCTCTCCAGGACACTGTGGGCCTCGGATACCCTTCTGTCCAACCGCCCAGCACCGGGGCTGGCCAACTGCAGCCTCCCCTCGGAGCGGGCACAAAGGCACGTGTCCGCCTCTGATGGCCTCACGGAGGTGGGCACTGCGGGACAGCAGCCGCAGGAGCAGGGCGTGGGCTTAGGCTGTCCCCTTGAGCCCTGGAAGTGCCCTGGGGGGGGGGGGGGGGGGATGTGGGTCCTGGGCCCCTCTCCTGCCCTCTGTGCCTGGCTTCCTGATGCTGAGTCGTAGCTTAATTAGCTCTGCTGTGCTCCTCGGGGAAGGGCGCTTTCCCTGAATGAGCTCTTCTGTTTTCCCACAAACGTTAAACCCCCAGGGATCCTTCTCATCTGGAAAAGGTCAGCCGCGTTTCCAGGTTTTAGCAACTCCCCAGGGTACTCCGCGGCCTCTCATCCCCTCATCTGCTAAGGAGCTAAGGAAAGGTGGTTTCCGAGACTGGCCGCCCTTCCTCCACGTCTGTCTTCCGGGGTTTCTGCTCTGCACAGCTGCCCAGAGACGCTTCATGGTCTCAGTGAAACAGGAATTTAATGAAACAAACAGGTGCCGAATGCGGCTCTGCCTGGGGCTCCCCGGTGAGCGCCCCAGCCCTCCCTCGAGAGGCGTGGAGAAGAGGTGCCCCTTCCTGTCACAGTTCTAGACAGTCTCCCTGGCACTCTCATTCTCCGCCTGGCCTCGCGGGCGCCCTGGGCCTTGGCATGGGGTTGGGAGGGGGCAGTGCTGGTCCCTGCTAGGGACGAGCTCCCAGCTCTGTCACCGCCAAGTGGCCTCACCTCTTCGGGAGCGCGTGTGCCAGCCGGGCGTGCTGCCACTGGGCGAGGGGCCCCGCACCGCCGCCGCGGGTGGTCTGCTGGAGCTTCTGCCATATCGCCACCGCTGGCCCCGCAGAGACCTGGAAGGACTCCTGGTCCTCCTGCAGCGGGGTGGCGACCAGGCTGAGGTGGCCCAGGCTGTCTTTCTGTAGCTGAACCGTGATGGTGCCTGCAGAGCACACGGGAGGGGTGGGGAAACCAGAGGGAATTGCACGGGCCGGGCGCATCCTGCTGAGCAGTTTCATGGCGGTGGTCAACCTTCCCTTCCCCCAGCTCCTTTCTCAGGGAAGAGCCTGGGCACTGGCCTGGTTTAGCCTGAAGCCGACCTGCTCCAGGATGAGCCCAGAGACGGAGCCCTCAGACATAGCCGCGGGCTCACCGTGGCACAGGCCTCCTGTGCACGCACAGCCACCCCTTCCCAGTCACACCACAGCTGCCCAGCTGGGCCCGACCTTGGGGCGTCGGAGCTGGTCTGCCAAGAGGGGCCCCCGCCAGATGGCAGGGAGGGGAGTGGGCCATTCCTTCCTGCCCTGGTCTTTGCCTCCTCCATCGTCCTTTCTCTCCCTCGTTGGTATCAGACAGCCTGCGGGGCTCGTACTCATCCACCCTCCCCTTCTCTGGCCTGGACAGCGTTCCTCTGGTTAGACGCCCGGCCCAGGAAGACTGTGGGAGGAGTGTGGTGCTCTGGGCCTGAGAGATGCCCCAGCTTACAGGGCCTCCCGGCCCCTGGCGGTGTAGCCAAGGCTGGGCCTCCCCCTCCTCCCTGGGGATGGCGGGCGAGGAAACCCAGCGAGCGCGTGCTGACTGGGCTCCTCCGCCGGCGGCCACGGGTGATCAGCACGGCCCGAGGGTCACGGCTCGCCGCCCCTTTGGGTTTTCACTCTCGTGGCAGAGTCCCGGCCTCGTGCCTGGGGCTGGCGGCCAGCGGGTGCTGGCGAAGAGGGAGCGGCCCTCCACGCAGGAGACCGCCATGCGTGGTATTGGGAGAGCCAGGTCTCAGTGCTGCGGCCCCGCACTCGGCCCGTGGGCCTGGGGGTGACAGCTTTCCAGTGTCCCCGTGGTTCCTGAGCCCTCGTGCTAATGGTTCCTTTAAAACGTGCTCCTCACGTCAACTCCTTTGCAGGGGCCTCTCACTCTCTGCTGGTCCCTGACTGAGGCTGGGCTGCCTGGGCTTCCGGATATTTCTTTCCTGCCGGGTCACAGGGTCACTTTGTCAGCGTTCATGGTAATGTCTGTGGAACCCGCTCTGAAGGAGGCTGAGCTCCTGCCTGTGTCCCACCCGGCCCTCCGAGGCTGGTGGAGTGGACACTCGGCCTTCTCGCTAACTCAGCAGCTGTTCTCCGGAGCCGTCTGCCCAGCCAGCGCGATCCCGGGGTCCTGTCACCTCAGATTCCCGGTGCCCTCTTTCTGCAGCCCGAGAGTGACGCTCGTTTCCTCCAGCTCCTAAAATACTCTGCTCTCCTCGCTCACCCCGGGCCCTGTGTCCTGTAAAGCCACAGTGACCCTAAAGGTAACACTGTACTGAACCCCACAGTTCAGCTTACCGGAGACCGGTGCGCTCCCTAGACCAAGCCCACAGAGCAGGTGGTGGCAGGCAAGGACTGCGACCCCGTGGGCCCCGCAGTGACTGCCACAGCCTGCAGCCTCAGGGGCCGCCATCTGTTACCAGCTGCGCAGGCTGACTGTGGTCACGGGGCTCGAGAGAGGCCTGGCGCCCTGAGGAGCCGCACCCGACCTGGCTGTGGAGGGGGACAGCTGTCCCAGGGGGCTGAGGCTTTCCTGGGAGGTGCCCTTCCTCCCGAGGCCTGGGGCCCAGCGCAGACCGGCCCCATGAACAGTCTCGAGCTGCCTCCCTGACGGGAGCCGGGTGTCGGTGGAATCCAGGCTGCTGGAGACTTGGATCGTTCTTTTCGTCAACAGCCATGTGGGCCCTGGCCTGGCCTCCCGCTTGCCCTGTGTGTCCATGGGGACGAGGCCTCAGAGGCCCAGGGGCTCCCAGAACGCTGCCCCGGCCTGGAGCGCCCCGGCTGCCTGCTCACCAGCCTCCCCAAGCTGCTGCTGTGCCAGCTGGGCAGACGAGTGCCCACCGCCACGATCGCCATGCCACTGTCTCAGCAGCTTAGGTTTAGCTGAGCAGCTGCCTCAGCCTTGAATATCCCGTCCCGTATTTATTTTTAAGCTCATGAGAGCCTTTACCTGCCTCTCGCTGTCTGTAACATGAACCAGGCTCACCCACTAGCCAGCTAAACCTGGGAGCGCGTCCTCACTCACCCGGAGCCGGCAGGCAGGGTGGGAGGCAGAGGGAGGCAGCCCAGGATGCTGTCACACCCGGGAGCCAGCAAAAGCCCAAGGAGAGCGCCTGGCTCGGGGAGGCTGGACTTGGGAGCGAGGGCCCTGCCCAGCAGCCCTGAGGCCATCACAGTGCTGGCGGTGACAGGGAGGGGCATGCCCCGTGGTGCAGTGGCCACTTCGGAAACAGCCCTTCACACCGGGGCTCCTCCGATTGGGGAGAAAAAGGGAGACCCCGTGGCAGCCTGTGGGCACTGGAGTGGCACCGGAGGTCGCTAGCTCAGTGGCCCTGGGCACGTCCCATCCCTTCCTCACTGGGCTGGACGGCCTGGGCACTGGCATCTGGGGAGTCCATCTCTTCAGGAAGAGTAGCTGGAGGAGCCAGAGCCACGCTTGGGAGTCAGACCTTGAGGCTTTGGATCCTGGCTCTGCCCCCAACTGGCTGTGTGCTCGAGGCAAGTCAGGTGACCTCTCTGCCTCAATTTCCCCACCATGAAATGGGGCTACTAGTCCCACCGCAGAGGGCTGCTGTGAGGATTGGTCTGGACCCGCCAACTACGCACAAGGAGTTGTGTTGGGCACGGAGGGGCCACCAAGGCTGAGCTGGTGGGACTCTAACCGTGTGAGATGACGCCTGCCCAGCCGAGAGCCCTGAGGGTCCCTTTCCCTCTCCCCACCTCAGCTCCCTGCCCTGAGGGTGAGGGTCCCCGCGGGGCCTATGCTAGTGTCTGTAGACGTGCGTTTCCTTAGTGGGCCCCGAGGTGTGCTCGTGAGTGGGTCAGCGTGTCTGCATCATTGGAACCTCAGACCGGGTGTCGCCTAGACCGGGGCTCTGCCTTCCCCTCCCCCTCCCCCTCCGCAGGGCTGCGTGGTCTCACCTGGGGGGTGTCTGCGGTTCCCTGAAGCAGATGTTTGGGAACACCATCTCCTGAGGGAAGCCCAAGGCGGGGACAGAAGCGACCCCGTGGCTGGTGATGTGTGTAGCTCTGAGCCTTGGTCAGATTAATCTATCACCTAGCAGAGCCCAAAGGTGGCTGGATCTTAGATGGGCCCTGCCCGAGGGGGCAGTCAGGGCAGGGGTGGGGGTGCACAATAGGCCGGTGCCCGAGGGTCCCGAGGGTGGTGCAGTCCCACCGGAGGAAGGGCACATGGGGACAGGAAGGGGCAGCAGCCTCACTCACTCTCCTGCTTAGCCGGGGCCTGTGCTCCAGAGCTGTGTTGAAGCGTGAAATGCCGCTGGCAGGAGGCCACCCATGCGAGGCCCTGCCACCCCTTTCTGGGTTGAGTTCAGACTCGAAAGGACAGACATTCATTCCAGTGGTGCTCTGACAAGATGGGCGGTGACCACAGAGCCCCAGAAGGCCCCAGGGGAGGCCCGCCCAGGCTGCACCCCAGCTGTGTGCCCGTCTAGTGTCTGATGCATTTGTCTGGTCTCAGACGCTCAGGAGGGCCCGGCAGGCCGGACTGAAGCAGTGCCCAGGGCTCAGGCCTCGGCCCCCAACCCGTGGGTCCCAAATGGGAGCATGCTGAGTACAGATCCCTGGGCCCTAATCCCGGGATTCTGATTCCCAGCTCTGGGGTGGGCCCCGGGAACCTGCATGTCCTCTCTCTCTCTCTCTCTCTCTCTCTCTCTCTTTCTCTCTCTCTCTCTCTCTCTCTCTCTCTCTCTCTCTCTCTCTCTCTCTCCCATAGAGATCGGGTGCAGTCTGAGATCAGCCGCACTGGGGCACCGATGTAGACAGGCCGGCCCCAGGCTTTCAATCACTGCGATGCACTACGACACCTGGACAAGGAGGGCAGCGCTCGCCGTCACAGCTGAGCCCTCGGGCCTGGGGCTGGCAGGCATGCCTGGGCCCGGGAACCTCATGTACAGAAGGCTGGGCGTGGACTACAGCCGCGGCTCTGCCGGGAGGTCCTGCCTGGGCCCCAAGTGGGCAGCCCCCCACCAGCCTTCTCTGCCAGAGCCCCCTGCTGCTCAGATCAGAAGACACACCGCTCCGCGCCCGACTCCCCAGGCCCTGCTGGAAGGCAGCCCACGCCTTGCTTTGCCCTGGACGAGGCTTCCTAAACCCGAAGTGTCCCGGCTCCGCCATGTCCTGTCCTAGGCCCAGGGCAGGAGGTCCCCGCCGGCCTGTTTCCCAGCCACGTGCTCCCGAGCCCAGCCACGCGCCCACTTCACTCGGTTTCTAATTCCTCGAAGCCGGTGCTTGAGCTAATTTGGAAGGACTCCAAGTGCTATTATACTCCAGCCCCGGACGTGAAGAGTTCAGAGAAACTAGGGCAGCCAACCAGCTGTGGGAGACGGGCATGTCTCCATGGCAACCGCCACACACACCAGGCCGGCCTGGCAACCGCCACACACACCAGGCCCGTCTGCGCGGACACTCACCTCTGTACTGCGGGGTGAACCGCTTCATGGCCAGGGGCAGGGACTCGTAGAACCTCTGCTCCCGGGAGACGAGGGGCTTGCACACGGTGTCCTCGTCGTACTTCATCACACTCAGGTGCCCCCCCACCTGGTGCAGGAAGGGCTCCAGGAGCACCAGCCCGGCGTCCCCGGGGTCCGCACTGTCCTGCACAACCATGTCCTGAGGTAGCAGTCGAAGCGTCCAGGACAGAAGGCCGGGCGGTCAGAGGTCCTCACCTTGC